TGGCCATTAGATTGACTTAAGCTACAACAGACTGGTAACTATAAACATAAACTGGCAGGACTCTGTGTGTGTGTGTATGTGACTAAAAAGCATATGCTAACTAAATGCGGTGTATTTGCCTTTTCCCCCCTGAAAAGATTCCGTGTGCTTTGTATAGCATAACACTTCCCACCCACCCCCGATCCAGCATATAGCCCCCCGTTGCCCATCCCCAACTCTGGCATAACAGCCATCTCTTGTTCCCAACTAATGTAGCTCATGCTGTACGGCAGTGGTTCTCAAACTTTTGTACTGGTGACCCCTTTCACATAGCAAACCTCTGAGTGCGACCCCCCCCTTATAAATTAAAAACGCTTTTTAATATATTTAACATAATTATAAATGCTGGACGCAAAGCAGGGTTTGGGGTGGAGGCTGACAGCTTGTGACCCCCCAGGTAATAACCTCGTGATCCCCTGAGGGATCCCGAACCCCAGTTTGAGAACCTCTGCTGTACGGCAAAACTGAAGGTTTAGGTCCAAAGCCTTACTGATGATGCAAGATAAGGCATAGCTGTACATCATATACTCCTCAGGGAATTCTGCACCAAAATATTAAAAATTCTGCACTCTAATTTAAAATTCTGCAAAATTCTGCATACTTTATTTGTCAAAATAACACAATATAATCCTACCATTTTCAATTATTTGCTGACAAATATTTTGAAATAAATTAGCAAAATAATTGAAAATGGTGTGATTATATTGTTAGTGTGTTTCTGTGTTATTTTAACAATTAAAATATGCTGAACTTCGCAGAATGTTAAATTTTTTGGTGCAGAATTCCCTCAAGAGTACCAGGGTTGTGTGTGGCGCAATCTGGGTGCGGGCAGCTTGTAGGAGGTCTGGGTGCAGTGGGGAATCTGGATGCACAGGGTCTCAATGCAGGGTTCGGGGGGGCAGGGGGAATGGGACTCTGCAGGGGAGTCCAGGTGAAGGTGAGAGGGACTTGGGGGGTCAGGATGCAGCTGGTTGGGGCTCAATGGGGTAGGGTGGGGGTCCTGATGCAGGGGTTGAGGGTTTGGGAGGCTTTGTGAGAGCGGGGTCTGGGGGCAGGGGACTCCTGATGCAGAGGGGGCTCAGTGGAGGGGATTCTGGGTGCACGGGTGGGGGAAGGATTACTATACAGGAAGCGGCTCCCCATCCCCTGCTGAGCCTCACTCCCCAGATGCCCCCAAGCACAATACAGAGCTTCCTGCAGCCAGGGGAAGTTTCTGGGGCTTGATCTGACCCAGCCCCAGCTGTTCCGTGCAGGGAAGGGGGAAGGGAACTCCATCTCCGTGCTCTCCCCACCCCAGCTGGGACTCATGTGCCTGGGCGGCCAGGGCATCCCCAGCTCCACCTCCAGCAAGTGATTTACCTCTTTCCCCACCCCCAACAGATGGGTCTGAGCTGCCAGGGAGGGATGAGTGAGTACTGGTGCAGCTTCTCTTTGCTTCCTCACAGAAACCATTTTCTGCAAGGAAGCAAAGAAAAGCTGCAGTATGTGTGTGGGGGGGGGGGAGGGTAGGAGGGGCATTTTTCTGCTGTGCTGCAGTAGCACAAAATTTCCCCAGGTGGAATAGTGAATCATTAGGGTGACCAGATAGCAAGTGTGAAAAATCGGGGAGGGAGGGGCGGGCATGTACCTGGCACCTATATAAGAAAAGAAAAAGCCCCAAATATTGGGACTGTCCCTATAAAATCGGGACATCTGGTCACCCTATGAATCATAGAATTTGCAGTGTATATTATCGGATATAAGTACTGTCTTCTTTCAGCAGATATGCTATACTAATTTTAAAAATAGACTACAAATTAGAAGTGAACCAGCTCCTGAAACAGAAAAGCCACTTTTATGTTCTTTCATTCATTACTACATATAATACACTACATTTTATGAAACACATTAAGTATTATTAAAGAGTCTGAACTGTGAAGTTTCTCTTCTTATAACTGTTCACAACTTAAGTCCCACCTCAAAGATATTTTGGAGTTACAATATTCTGACTATATTACATCTGACAAGTGTTGTCCTTTTAAATATACTAACACACACACACACACTTTTTGCTCACTAATCACTTTGGTAGCTATTAAAAATGCCACTCACAAAGATCCCCAATGCCAAAGTTGATCCAATGCCTTCTTTTGTGCCCTCATTACCTACATACTAATCACAACCCCTTGTAATTAGGGCACAGAAAAGTACAAACAAGAAAGAATATACTGCTAGAGCCCTGCGAGGATACAAAATTTATATCCATGGATGCGGATATCCAGGGATTTAAAGCAGATATATGTGGAGCTGCAGGGCTCTACCAGGAACTGCAGCAGTGAAAGCAGCAGTACGTTGGGCCGCTGGTCACAGGAGCCAGCACCCAGCCCGGGCAATTCCTTCAGCGTGGCTGTGCGCCCCCAGCCCTGTCCACTGGGACAGGCACGAGGCTCACCAGCAGTTCTCCCTGATCACGGTTGTGGGTGCAAGCGGCTTGCATGCCCCCAGACAGGAGATGCAGACTGCTGCATGGATTAATTGCAAATTAACTGGGTTGCACCAATAGTTAACTGAAGGTATAACTGAAGACAACAGGGTAGCACAGGTGCAATCAAAGGCATTTGTGCTCCCTAAATTACTGGTGATGTTACATAAAGGTGGGAGTGGGAAATGAGAACAATAATCAGTTGACTCAGGACTCAGCTTTAACAGTACAAACTTGTGTCTGTCAGGGCTGTGAAGAGGTGTGATCCCTGACCGACATAACATGGTGGTAAAAGCCCCTAGTGTAGATATAGCTATATAGCAGAACCTCAAAGATATGAACTCCAGAGTTACAGACTGACCGGTCAACTGGACAGCAAGTGAAACTGGAAGTAACCAATCAGGCAGCAGCAGAGACAAAACCAAAAAACCCCCAATACTGTACTGTGCCTGTATTGCATCTTAAAGATAGGTACATCTGGGCTGCCTCTTCCCCCCGCCCATACAGGAGCAGCCACTTACAGCAAGATGTTGGGGCTGCCAGCCCCATACGGGCGCTGAGTAGGGAGCTCAGCTGCTGAAACCTGGCCTGGACCATCAGCTGTTGGAGCTGGAGCCGGAGCCTGAATTGCACTTCGTTCAGTTACGAACATTTCAGAGTTACAGACAACCTCCATTCTTGAGGTGTCCGTAACTGAGGTTCTACTTAAAAGCAAAACTGCACTTTTTTGTCCACAATAGGAGCACTTTGCGGGTGCAGGATACTGGCAGAGTTACATAGGCAAAGAACTCCAAGTGTAGACATCTCAATGCCCAGGATGAATTTGAAACATTGGAGATAAAAATGTTTTTGTCTCTACTTTGTGGGGGTTCAGTCTTCAAGTTCAACTCAAATACCTCTTTTATAGTAGATGCACACTGAATATGAATTGGATGCTTATATTTGCAAGTTTACCTCAGCAATATATACAAAATGTCATTGCAAACCAATTTTTAAATTAACCAAGTCTGAAAGTGAACCTCCCCTACTCCACATCTCCTAAAATTAGACACCCCAGCATGCACTCTGTTGTGACATCAGAACTACAGTAGTAAGGAATGGTTGGAACTGGTCCCTAGGGGAATCAGTAATGTATAGTTCAGTTAGTATACCATTCAATTTGTGCCTATTTATACTTTACTGTATATTGTGCATTTCTGGGATTTCTATTAAACTCCCCTTTATTAGCTTACCTGCCCCTCTGCTCCTTTAGAGGCTTCCAAGTTAGCTGCAACTGCTATAGCACAGCAGAGCTGAAACAGACAACTTCTGATTTTAAAGGCCCTAAAAGGAAACGGAGGGTTTCCTAAGTTGTTTAGGCATGGAATGCTTCCAGTAGCTTTGTTAGAGATGTTATTCAGTATATTGCACTCGAACTCACGATACATCAATAGCTGATCATTCTTTGTGTGATCATTAGCAGCTGTTTACTATAGTTTAGAAAATCATTTAGATACCTGGTAATGAACTACTCAAAATTTGGGCCCTTAAAGTTTGCCATCTTATCTAGTTTTCCCTAGTAACCATTCTTACAGCTTAATGTTTTGTTTCTTTTAAATATAATATGTGCATACATTTTTGCCTTGAGCTTACTTATCTCAGAATTCTCTCTCCTTACAGGAGAAACAATAAAGTCTACGATCTAACACAAGTGGACTGGCATCTACTGGTAGAATTCTAATCTTGTTCATCAGCTGACCAAAGCCAGAAGGAAGGTAGTCTACAATACATTATAGTGTCACAATTGTAAAAGACACAAACACCATCGAATTGCAGAGTAGAGAATAGTACCCAGTGGGTATGTCTACACTACAATAAGATACCTGTGGCTAGCCTGGCTCAGCTGACTAGGGCTCCACAGGTCTCAGGCTATAAAATTGTAGTGTAGCCATTCAGGCTTGGGCCAGAGCCCAGCTTCTGAGTTGCTGCTAAGAGGACAGTCCCAGAGCCCAAAAGCTCTACACTGCAATTTTATAGCCCCATGAGGCCCAAGTCAGCTGATCTGGACCAACTGCAGGTGGTGTTTTATTGCAGTGTAGACATACCCAATGCTACTTGCTACTGATCCTGCAGCTGTTCTGACTTGAACCATTTCATATCTCAATTCTAGTCTTATTCAGACACTTATTTGATGTGCAACAGTTACTAAGAATGGACTTCTGTATTTTCTATACACTAAACTATCAGCAACACAGAATACAAAAAAATTTGGCTAATAAGATATACTGTAGAATACCTCATAATTACTTGAGTTTGAAAAGCTTAAGCTAGTTATACAAAAAGTTTTATTAAACCTGCAGATCCAGTATTTTTGCATACCCCTCCAAAACCCAGACTCTTTGTAGTCATTTTTTGTCCCCCCCCTCCCCCATGTGTGACTGCAGGAGACAAAACAATCCTCTATAGACAAACAAACAGCACTGTGCAAATCTTAAGAGTAAGAATTTAAAGAAAAAACAAATAAAATTATACACTTTATTCATTCCATTTTAGCTAAGAATATTCCTATTATACAAGTACAGTAGTAATTCAAAAAAATCACAAAATATTACAAAATAAAAAAGTACAAACTGCATTACTTAATAAATATGTCTAACAAATTAAAGTTAACAGGAGATTAAAGAAGATAGCTCTCAGGTTGAAAACATTTAATGTTTGACCCAGCAAACCATACAAGTCTCGGTTTAAATACTTTTTACATAATATAGGAGAGTGCATTATATTCTTGATTAGAAAACAACATCAAAAGGAGTAAAATGTTGTGATAACAGCCTGCTGATGCAATGCAAGTGCCATGGGGCAAAGAAAAGGCATTTAAAAAAAAAACAAAAAAAACCCACACTCAGAAACCCAAATACTGAGGTACAGCCAATTCTTGCCAAAATTACAAACTATTATTTTATCACAACATTCTACATTAAATGTATATTATTACAATTGAATAAAATATAAATGGAACAATGGGTGAGTCACCCAAGCAACCAGAGGCCAATTTACTCTAAACAGTAATTAAATACAGAAGAGTCACAATTGCTCCCTGTACCATTCATGAATAGCTACATTCCAACAGGCTTATAAGACTTGTTCTGTGCTTGAGGCAATCAAAAACTTTTTGAAGTAGCTATTTAAAAGTTTTCTGCACTTTTATGCAAACCATTGTTTAGATAAAGTTTATTTACTTTCCAACAATCAGGAAAAGTCGGTCCAGCTAACATTCAAACTGGCTGACACCAATTTCATTTGGTAGTTTAAGTTGTATCGGTCAAATCACAGGAAAAAAAAACAAAAAAACAACCCCCCCCCAACCTGGTATATCATAAACCTTATTTACAAAATAAACCTCTTACAAACTTTTTTGGCTGCACAGCTGAAAGCCAGAGGCCAACATGAGATGTAGGAGATGGAGGTAACAGTTTAAAAAAATAATGTGCAAAAAATACATTCTTCTAGAAAATAGAGAACTGGGGGTGGAGGGGGGAACAAACAAACAAACACCACATATACATGGAGAATCCGCTTCCAAATAATCCAGGGCTAGCTTTATACAAGAGAATATTACAAATACAAGTTTGGATTTGTCATCCCCCCCAGTTTAATATTGTATGGAGGCTCCTCAGTCTAGGGCACCGCTGCTTTATGAAGGATTAAGGCATCACCACCATGGCCGGTGCAAACTGTCTCTCTTGACCTGGAGTAGGGCTCTAAGCTTCTAGACTAGGAAGTCTCAGGAGCAGGTGTTCTGCTCGATGTACATCTTAGACAGTGACATGGCCATGGATTTGGCAAGCTCCTCGTCCCGCCTCCGCTGCACCTGAGTCTGCCTGCACCAGGCCTCGTACTCCGGGTTGGGACACACACAGTCCAGCACAGCGTCGTAGTGCCCATTGCTGAGCCAGCTCAGCCAGATGCTAGGCCGGGCCGGGTCCTCAGGGCCCAGGTAGTGGGCCATAGTGGAGACGGTGGGGCTCTCTGGCCTGCCGCCCGTGGTGAGATGAATGTTTACATTCAGCATCTGCCCCATGGCCAGGAGCTCAGGGTAGCCAGCCCAAGCGCCGTCCTGGGCGGCGCCGATGAGAAACTCGCCCACATCGCCCTCGATGATGGGGCTGAAATGGTGCAGGTGGTCGGCGATGTAGTGCACAGTCTGCTCGCGGAGCTCGCTGTGCAGCCGCTGGTCCCCGTATACGGCCTTGCAGATGGCGCGGTACAGGCAGTTTCCATCGGGGATGATGTGGAAGCGGAACCGGCCCTTGTGCCGCAGGTATTTGTCCTGCTTCTCCACCTCGGCCAGGTACAGAGCCAGCTTCTCATTCCGCTCCGGCCCCCTCCTCGGGCTGGGGCCCTCCTCCTCCGCTAGCGGGGAGCAGGGCAGAGGCAGGGCCTGGCCGCCGCTCTCCTCGCCGCAGGTGGCGGCCGGGTCGGGCTGGGCGCTGGCCGCCGCCTGCAGAGCCTGGCAGTGCTCGCTTAGGCGGAGGCTGTGGTTGCTGGGCTCCTCCGGGCGGTGCGGGGCTGCGGCGGCCTCCGCGTCCCCGCCGGCTTGTCTCATGCTCTCCAGGATGCCCTCGAGCCAGGCTCGGCTCTGCGGAGAGGCCGGGGCCAGCTCAACGGGGTGCTCGGGGCGCTGCACGATGCGGATGGGCACGATCCTCTCCAGCGGCCTCCTGCGGCTCACGGTGATCTGCGCGCTGGAGCTGTACTGCGGGGCCGCCGCCTGCCTGCCGCCCGGGCCCGCCGCGGGCCCGCCGGGCATGAGCTCCAGGCAGGAGGAGAAGGCAGTCATGGCGGCACCGCTGCCTCCGGGCACCAGACTCTCCTTAGCGGGGCTCTCGGCGGCCGGGCTCTGGCCCGCGGCGCTCGCTGCGTCCGGAGAGGGGGGCACCGCCGGCAGGGAGACTTTGAAAACGCCCGCCCCGCCTGCTGCTGCTGCCGCTGCCCCCGCTGCCGGGTAGTGGGTGATCACGGAGCTATAAAGCTGCATCCTCAGCCCCCCGCGGGCGGCCTTTTATAGGCGGGGCCAGGGCGGGGAGCGGCCGCGCTCGGGCAGCCGGAGAGGATGAGCCGCCCGGGTAAAAATAAACAGGGGCATCACCCCGCCCGCGGTGCGGCGGGAGGGCGGCAATTCCTGCTGCGCCACAGCTGTGGGCGGCCCCCGCTCGCTAGCCCGCGCGCGGCCCTTCTGGAAGTTGCTGGGCCGCGGCGGGCGGGGCTGCTGGGCCTTGTTTACCTCACTCCCTCGGCACGTTGGAATGCGGGGGGCGGGGCCTGGTGGCGTCCCCTTGTGACGTCGCCGCGCACAGCCGCGCCACCGCGGAAAGGCAAGCCTGCCCCCTCCCACCAGAGCCGTGAGCGCGCCCGGCCGCTGTCCCGGGCTGTGCAGTGTATTGGCCGTAAGTGGGGCCGTGCAGGGATGTGTGTGTCAGTGTCACCAGAGTCCCAGGCTCGGCCCCTGTCCACCAGCCTCGCCAGCAGTTACTGCTACAACCGGTTACATGTCCTGTGTCACCCTCCTCCCCCGTTAGTGGTAAAACAAGCCCCGGATTCCGCAAAATGACATGGTTTGGAAGTGACAGAGTCTCTCTAGCTCCATTGAAACACACAGAACGAGGAGAAAAGGCAAAGACAAGGAATATTTTTTCCTAAGTTTTCACCTATGCCTTGGGTTGAGTGCATGTGCTGCTGGGCTCTTCAAATCCTAGCATATAATTTGGTCTTTGTTGGGATGGTTAAGACCCTACACAAATATCAATGAAGTTCAGGTTTGTTAAACTATCGGGCGAGAAAGCTAAGCAAAGTGACATTTGAAAAAGGGAAGAGGGAGGTGGAAATTAGGTGTGGCCAAAATAGGCACCTCTTTTCCCATTTCCTGTTTTCCCATCTCCTCTGCTGCTCTGCAGCTCCTGTTTCAGATCTTAGAAGCTTACCTTGATCCAAAATCTCTATCATGACCCTTTACCTCCCTGTTCTGAGAAAAACCTGTCTCTACCCCTTACACTTTCTGTTTCTGCCTTCTTTTTTGTGCACCTGTCTCCTATTTCTAGTTCCTCCGTACTGTTATTTTAAACTCATACAGTTAAACTGGTGCAAGAGACTGTGGACAATTTCAGTTTAAACCAGGCATATTTCAATTTATTTTAAATTTGTTAAGGATTTATTTAAGCTAAACCAAAATAAGCCACACTCTTCACCTGAAATAAGAGTGCCCACACTAAGGTTGCTACCTTTTTAGGCCCTTAAGGTCCCCTCCCCCCAAGGCCCCATCCCTGTCACTCACTCCTTTCCCTCCCTAGTCCTGTTGTTGCTGGATCCTCTCAAGGAGCCTGCCTGGAGGTAGGGGTTAGCCCCAGCTGAGCAGGGGCTGATGCAGTAACTAGACTTTTGATTTGGATGCCATTGTTTAGGGTTGCCAGGTCCCCTTTTCAACTGGACTTTCCGGTCAAAAACCGGGCACCTGGCATCCCTAAATGGCACCCAGACACAGAATCCAAAAAAGGGACTGTCCAAGTAAAACCCAGACAGGTGGTAACCTTAGCCCACACAGGTGTTGGTCCTGGTTTAACAAATGTGTTTAGATAAGGCCTTAATCTCTCTCTTCTCTCCCGGTTCCCAGTGTGTGGCTGTCATCTATTCTCCTTTTGGCTCCTCCTGGAAGTTGCCTGGCTCTCACTCTTCCATTTATTCCATTCCATTAATGTTGCCATGGGTGATTTCAAGTTCCATGATTCCTCTGACTTTTGTTTCGTTTCTATAACTTCCTAGTTACCTCCAGCTCTAGCTCAATTCCTCCATTCATTGCCTTAGTCAGTGTCTTTACCTAGACCTGATCTACACCCAAAAATTATACTGTGATATAGCTGCTTATTTCAGTGGGAGCAGGCATGCATCCACATACATATCTGTCTCCCATCAATAGATTTCCATAGTTAAATCAATATATTTGTTATGCTTAAAAGTAAAATAAAATAAAATAAATAAATAGGGCAGCTCAAGTAGTTTTCTGCGGGTATCCCACATTGCACCATGAATTGACCTGTCTAGTAACCTTTCTGCACTTCACTGCCCAAGGTTGCAGGAGTGCAAGTACAACAGTGTGAACATACTCAATAATTGTATTGATTTTCCTGAACTTGCATAACTTCTGTAAAAAGCAACAGAGAGTCCTGTGGCACCTTTAAGACTAACAGATGTATTGGAGCATAAGCTTTCGTGGATGAATGCCCACTTCGTCGGATGCAAGTAATGGAAATTTCCAGGGGCAGGTATAAATATGCTGGCAAGAATCAGTCTGGAGATAACAAGGTTAGTTCAATCAGGGAGGGTGAGGTCCTCTGCAAGCAGTTGAAGTGTGAACACCAAGGGAGGAGAAACTGCTTCTGTAGTTGGCTAGCCATTCACAGTCTTTGTTTAATCCTGATCTGATGGTGTCAAATTTGCAAATGAACTGAAACTCAGCAGTTTCTCTTTGGAGTCTGGTCCTGAAGCTTTTTTGCTGTAAGATGGCTACCTTTACATCTGCTATTGTGTGGCCAGGGAGTTGAAGTGTTCTCCTACAGGTTTTTGTATATTGCCATTCCTGATTGAACTAACCTCGTTATCTCCAGACTGATTCTTGCCAGCATATTTATACCTGCCCCTGGAAATTTCCATTACTTGCATCCGACGAAGTGGGCATTCACCCACGAAAGCTTATGCTCAAATACATCTGTTAGTCTTAAAGGCGCCACAGGACTCTCTGTTGCTTTTTACAGATCCAGACTAACACAACTACCCCTCTGATACTTGCATAACTTCTGTATGTAAAAAACATCTTCACTCTGTACTGTTCTATTTCTCAGATTCCAAACTCCATCTTTGATCAACATGTTATTACCAGTTTAAAAACGGTTTTAATTATTCCCTTATTTTAAATACAATTTTCTGTTTTCTCTTTTTCTGACCTCCCTTTTTTCCCCCTCTTTACCCCTCCATAGGCCCAATCCTGTAGTTCAAACACATCAACTTCCAAAGACTTCTGTGTATAACCCATTTTTAGTTCCCTCTTGTAAATCTAAGTAGAAAATACATACACGAAATTGTATATGCTGTTATAAATCCAACGATTAGTTCTATACATATCCCTATACACATACTGCTTTGTCTCCAATGAGGACCCCTACAAGAAGAAACTAGAAGTCATCAACTAATAGAAGTGTGGAAACAATTTAATTTGAAAATTTAGGTTCCCAAAATGATTTGTGCTTGGTTTATCTATGTCCGTAATGTCTTGGAATCAAGTTGCCCCAATTTACCTCACCCTAGGTATTATCAGACGCATATCTACCTCTCCATCCCCAGACAGCGTCACAGTGTATGTACACTCCACTGATTATGTTCTGACAGACACATTGACCAAGTATCACCCGCTTACTGTAAGATCAAATTTTTACAACAACATTTAGTCTTATCAGTTGCTGAATAAAATTTGGGAACTGGTATACACCAGTTACCTTGGACAGATACTTCATAACCTTGTTTTTTACATTCTAAAATTTTCTCCAGAATTCATCCCACAAATCAAATGCCTCCTAAAGAGTTTCAATAATCTGATTGGGGCAGACCCCTAAAAACTTTAATACAGTAAGATTTAAATGGTACTAGTGACCTCTTTTTCCTCTTTCCTCTTTTAGCTTTCTTATACTCTATTTAAAAATTAAAGAAGATTCAGCTAGGGGAGTTAATTTATCACTACTTTATCAAAAATAGCAACTTTTTCTTTAGTTATCAGTTGGCTAAGTTTCAGGGAACCATTTCCTTTATTCCCATACTCTGCAGCTGAGGGCATAGCTGCTGGAATAGTACAACATAGCATTTCATTAGGTATTTCTATAAAGGATAAACTTTGACACTAGACTCAGCATTTCCTAGTTGACTTTATACAAAGATAAAAGGAGAGGCTGAAGAAAATTGTTAAAAGTTGTGATACTTTAAAAATATTAGGTATTTAAAAGAGACAGTTGTCCCATCTCTCATAGAATCTTTAATTTTGGAGAACATTAACGTGTCTACACATTTGGGAAGTTCACTGTAGTACTGGGGACCTTTTACAGTCATGGCCGCTGGGGTTGGGGGGAGTGAGGGAAGTGGGGCAATTTGCCCCAGGCCCCACAGGGGCCCCCACAAGAATATAGTATTCTATAGTATTGCAACTTTTTTTTAAGGAAGGGACCCCCAAAATTGCTTTGCCCAGGGCTCCCTGAATTCTCTGGGCAGCCCTGTTTACAGTGAAGAGTTACAAGGCCAATATGTTCCCACAGTTACCACTTCAGAAGTTGAAATATAAAAGGAATACTAGGCACTAGTTCATGTCCAAATTATTTGATTGACCTGGCATGCCTGGAAAGTTGATACTTTTAGAATGAATAGTGATGTCACAGTAAACCAGGGGCATTGCTGGGAACGTACTTCAAGGACATAGAGTATTACAGCTTCTCTGAAAGTTAGAGAATGACTTTTGTATTTCGGAATGTTCTGAACTTCCCTTCAAATATAGTTAGTGAGACCAGCGGCTAAGACCCTTCAGACCTGGACAAATAAATGATTACACATTAAGAATTTTCCCAGTCAGAGGGCAATAAATAGCTACTCTTCAGTTAGTATGAAGCATCTCAGAGTTTCTTCATCACTTCTTACCCGTTTCCTCACTCCACCTGAACAGAACTGTCCCGATCCCCTCTGCACACACCCCCATCTTTCCTCGCAGATCTGGTCTGAACCCCTCTGGCCTCCCTCTCCCTCCCCCCCCCAGAGCTGGTCAGAGCCCCTCTGCCCCCCCTGCTTGCCCTGCCGCTCATCCCTCCCCCCTTTTTGGCAAAACTGGGCGGCAGCAAATAGGACAAATGGCCAGTTTTGCCGAAATAGTCAGGATGTCTGGGTCAGGGCTTAAAAAAGGGACTGTCCCGGCTAAAATGGGACGTATGGTCACCCTAGGCTGTAGTAAGAGCTGCCCAGGGAGCCCGGGCAGCTGTATGGAACCCCAGATCCTCCACCTGCTCTGGGCAGGGGGCTGGGGTGCACAAAAGCAGGCCCCGGCCTGTGTCTCTGCCCACCTGGGGCGCACTGCCCAAAGAAGACAGAGGGTCCAGGGCTCCCCACGGTGGCCCTGGCTCCCTGGGTAGCTTTTGCCAGCTTCCAGCCAGGCCAGGAAGCGGGGCCTTGGGCGGAAGGGGAGGAGCAGGGGCGGGGCCCCGTG